CCCCCCCCCATCCTCTGTCACCTTATGCTGTCATCGGGAGCTTCTGCAATCTCGCGCAGGTGGGAAATCTGAGGTCAGGGTGGAATTATTTGGCCCAAGTCACAAAGCAAGAGGCGCTCAACTCCAGCCCCAGACCTGCCTGACCCGCAAAACGGTGTCCTCTCCTCCCCCCACACCTGGCACCTTCCATCCACACCTTCAGGGCTCCGGGCACCAGGGAGGGCCAGTGCGGGCCCGACGCTGGCCAGTGTCCAAGGTGCCTGGAGTCCTCCCGGGCACCTGCCTGCCGAGGCACAGGGCACCCGGAGCAGTCACTGAGGAGGAACCTGGGACCTCCTGTTGCCTGTCCACTGGTTACACCTCTTCATTGCTCACACGGCAGGGCCAGAACGATCCCTTTTCTTTCCACACCCCCCAATTACCCACTAAGGAGAGACACAGGAGCAAAAGGCATCGTCACCTACCGGTTCCTCTTGGTTCTCATGTTTCGGTCTTCCCTGCCATCCTCAGACCTCGACCCATCGCTGTGGTCGGCTGGAAGAAAACCAAGTTAACAAGATTGCCGGTCAGCGCCCATAACCCTGGCAAAGCCCGGGCAGCCCCCACTTCCAAGCGGAGTCAGCTGGAGGGTCAGGAAACATACTTCCCACAAAGACTGATATCAAATCCTGGAACCAACCTTCCCTTGGTACTCGCTCTATGTTCCAGCAGAAGAGAGATCTGATTCTCTTTCGTGCAGGGAAGGCATCTCTAGCTGCTGCCCGTGTGTAGAGGCTGCTAGATCGTCCAGAGAAGCCAGAGGCTGGAGACTGGGAGGTGGGCATCACCCAACCCCCACCCCCCTGCCCCGCCGGCACCTTGGGACTCAGGCCCTGGATAAGCCCTTCTGTGTCACGTGCCCCAGCAGGTTCTCACAAGTGACCTGAGAGACCTGGTCCCCCCTCTGTCCACTGCAGTGAATCACCCCACTTTTTTTTTTTAATATTTTATTTATTTTTGATAGAGAGAGACAGAGCACAAGTGGGGGAGGGGCAGAGAGAGAGAGGGAGACACAGAATCTGAAGCAGGCTCCAGGCTTAACCGACTGAGCCAGCCAGGTGCCCCTCTTTATTTTTGAGATAGAGAGAGAGACAGAGCGTGAGCAGGGGAGGGGCGGAGAGAGAAGGAGACACAGAATCCGAAGCAGGCTCCAGGCTCCGAGCCGTCAGCCTAGAGCCCGACGCGGGGCACGAACTCACCAACTGCGAGATCGTGACCTGAGCCGAAGTCGGACGCTCAACCGACTGAGCCACCCAGGCGCTCCGTGAATCACCCCACTTCTGCACACGGCATGTACCTCACTGCTGGCCATGCAGCTTCTTCAAAAACCCAAACTGATTTTGAAGACAGGCCCCCTGTTTCCATCCTGAGGAGGCCGGCCTTGTAAATATCTGATGAGCTTTTGGAATGAAAAAGTAAAAAGGTGCTTCGGCATTTCTTGCTTGTCTCCAAAAGGGAAAGAGGAAAAATGAGTGTCAGGATGCTTCCAGAGCATTATTATTATTATTATTATTATTATTATTATTATTCCAGTCCTGACAGATGAATGGTTTCCACACGCTCCCTGGCGTCACAGCTGATTTCTGCCCTGCTTCTCATTCTGTGTCCGTCACGCACAGGAGACCACTTTCTCGTGCCCGTGTCCCGTGTGGGCAGAGGTGCAGGGGGCTGGGCTCCGTGGAGCATCCCCGGTCTCCGCGTCCCCCAGCCCACCTGGCTGCCTGAACTCCGCCCTTCCTGGGGAGGCTCTGCCCCGAGAACGGGGCCACGAAGGATGCGCTGTTTGGAACCCCAGCGAAGCCTCCGCCCCCCACCTTTTCATAGGCTTCTTCCTATGTTCAGTGTGGGGCTGCCTGCAGGAGGAGAGAGTCGGGTTCTGGAAGCTCCCGGCTGCCCCAGCCCAGCCGTCGTCCTGGTTGGGGTTCCTCCCACGCACAGCCACCCACGCCAAGCCGCGTGCACTACACCACGCCATCACGGGACCAGTGGGCGCTTGCCAAGAACCTTCCGGAAGCCCCTTCTGGAAGAGGCTCGCCCAGGAAGGAGACGTTACAGACACGGACATTGTCCAAATGAAGATGGGGAGCGGGGCTCCCTGTGGGACAGCGGGGAGGGGTGGTCCGGGACCTCAGCCCCGGCAGCCTCCGCGGCACCTGGGGAGCCCTCGTGCAGGGAGCCTCCTGCGCTGGCGACGCTTGGGGCTGGACGTGCTGCAGGTTGCTCAGCACATGCCTGTAGCAGGGGGGACAGGTCCCAGGTGCGACAGCCAGAAATGTCTCTAGAAACTGCCAAACACCCCCGAGGGAACAGAAGCCCCCTCCTGGTTGAGAACCAGGCCTAGAGACGAGAGCATTTGTGACACCAGCTGATATGGGGGGGACTCACCGTCTTCACGCTCCACACTCTCTTCCCACATGGCCCGTCCAGGGCGCCAACAGTCAGCCCTTCTAGGCCGCTGCCCCAAGAGGCACACGCACCTCCCTGCCCCTACCCTGTCCTCCCCATCCGGCCTCTCTGCTTCAGTGGCCCACGGGCACCCCAGCCCTGCACACTCAACCTGTCCACCCCCGTACCCACTCTCCCCCGTCCCTGCCTCCACGCCTGCCAGACCCCTGCACCTGAGACGCCAGGACTGGATCCCGGCCCCTCTGCCCCGGGGGGGACAGGGGTCCCCCAGGGGCTCCGCCTCAGTGACCCCAGAGCAGCCGCGAGCCTGCCCGTCTGCATCTCAGGGTGTCTGAAGGTGCACCTCCTTCCCAGAGCGCCTGGGGGGAGGGGACGCTGCAGCCAGGTTTCGCAGAAAGAGAGGGACTGTGTTTTGCCATCTGCTGGCCTTTCAGGCAGAGAGGACGGGGGTGACGGGGAGCAGGCAAGGTGTGGCCAGAATAAGAGACCAAGTGGAGCAGAGGCAGACCACGCCCCTCGCTCTACTCCAGTACACACTTGAGGGAGGGCAAAGGGTAGACGTGAAAAATCAGAAGTTTTTTCAGGAAGAACGAGGCCATACAATTATAAAGCTATTGATTATTTTTTAAAGATCTTTTGTTGGTTTGTTGTGGATAGTCTCGTCGTGAGGAAAGTAACCAAGACACAGAATCCAGAAGCCGTGAAGGAAAATATTCGTAACTGCAACTGCCTTTAACAGTACAAGACCAGAAGGAAGATCACGCATTCGGCAGAGCGGGGGGCGCTGGGGTCGGCAGCTCCTCCGGATGCCCACCGAGCTCTGGATTCGGACGAGACCGCATAGCCGCCCGGATGAGCCGCCAGCCTTCAATAACCGCAGAGATAATAACGGAGCAGAAACTCCAGAGGCCACACGCAAGGATCACACGTTTAAGAAAATCGTTTGGAAAAGTCACAAATGGATGCCTCCAGTCCTCCACAAGCAGGAACCAGAAACCCCTGAGGATAGGAGAATCCGTTTTCCAGGATTTCCATGTAATAAACCCAGAAAGTCCAGTTCTCAACAAAAAATTACAACCCATACAAAGAAATAGGAAAGCGTGGCCCATTCACGAGAAACAAGAATTGGACAGAAAGCATTCCCGAGGAAAATGACCTGCGAACACATGAGAGAGGTAAATGTGGGAGCTAAAACCATAAAACTCTTAGGGGAAAACACAGGGAGACATCCTGACAGCAGATTTGGTAATGGTTTCTTACCCATGACACCAAACCACAGGCGATAAAAGGAAGAAAACCCGAGACATGGGACTTCATAAAATTAAAAACTTTTGTACATCAAAGGACACTATGACCACACAATGGGAGCAAACGTTTGCAAATCACATATCTGCCAAGGGATTAGCACCCGGACCATGGGTGAACTCCTACCGCTCCACAACAACACCACAAACTAAGACAAAAACAACCCAATTATAAAAAGGACAAATGGCGTGAAGGCACGCTTCTCTAAAGACACCATACACGTGGCCAAGAAGCACGGGACAAGATGTCACACACCCTTAACCATTAGGGAAACGCCAGTCAACACCAGAATGATGCGCCACTTTGCATGCTCTATGGTGGCGATCACAGTAGCAGTGATAATAATACTAACGATAAAAACGAGATCAGCGGGTTCTGGCGGGGACAGAGAAGGATGGGAAGACCCCCGTGGTGGGAACGTAAAACAGCATCACTGCTGTGACAGAAGAAGTCTCGGCCGCTCCTCAAGAGGCCAAATGTAGAACTGCCCCTTGAGCCAGAAATTCAACTCCTCGGTATGGACACAGAAGAACTGAAAACAGGGACTCAAACGGTATCTGTGCGCCGATGTTCATACTAACACAATTCATGGTAGCCAAACGGAGGCAACAGCCAAGCGCCCATCAACCGACGGACAGACAGGAGATGGGTCCATCCACACGATGGGATATCATTCGGCTGGAAACAGGAACGAACGTCCGACAGAGGCTACAGCCTATGCGGATAAGCCGAGAAGACACTAAGCTCGGTGAAGCCAGTCAGACACTAAGGGGGCAGGACCGCCTGGTGCCACTCGCAGGAGGCCTATGAGCCGGCGAGTCCATAGCCGTGGGGGGCGGGGAAGGGAGGCTCCCGGGGCTGCGGGAAGAAAGTCACGGGGACCTGCTGATAATGGTTACGGAGTTTCTGTCTGGGGTGAAGACAGAGCTTTGGAGGATGTGGTGATGGTTGTACAACAATATTAAGGAAGTTAATGCCACCAGATCGCACACTTAAAAATGGTTACAAAGACAGACGCCAAGTTACGTATACTTTAGTACGATCAGAAGAAATTCGGGACCGATTTTTTATGGAAAAAAAATCAAAAGATGAGGAAAAAAATACTGTAATCGTGCTGTAGCCCAAATACCGGTATCTACAACACTCCATATATTTCAATAAAAGAGACAAAGACTTAAGCATGTCACGGAATACAAAACAAAACAAACGGCCAATAAACCTGTGAAAAGGTTCAATTTCACTCAAAACTTAAAAAACGCCAGTCGAAACAAAGAATGGTTTTAAAATTCAAATGTGGATGATCTCTGGTGCTTGCAGAAGTGTGCAGAATCTATTAGTGGGTCTGGGAGCTGGGCTATTGTGGAGGAAAATTTAAAAGGCATGTACCTTTTGACCTGGCAGTTCGAATAATACGAATCTGTACAATACAAACGCTTGTACAGATGCTCCTAAGATAAATACACGTGCACAAAGACATTCTTATCAGCACGTCCAGCTGAGGGAGAGGGAGCGGGAGAGAGGAGGGAACCTTGCACAGAGGACCTGAGCACTCTGCGGGAGAAGCCTGGGCCCCGGGAGCCAGGGTCAGTGCTGGCCAGATGTCCAAGTCCCGCCTACAGGACTGCCCCACGGGCCCGCCCAGAACACAAGGCTCAGCAGGCCTGTCCTTCCGCTCGATGGGGGCCAAGCTTTGACGGGACAGTTGCACCCCTGACCTGAGTTCTCTGCCAATCGCCCTGCGACAGCTCTGTCTGCATTTCCTAAAATCCATGAAATTTGCAACA